TTTAATATAAAACAAGATTTTTGTGTGTGTGTCTTTATCATTTCCTATTCTTCAGTGTTTTGCCCTTATAAGCTGAAGTTAGCGTGGTACAGGCATGCGTCATGAGTCACAGTCTCACTGCAACAACAGTCAAATTCTTTCCAAATACTGACACTTTGATTAGTTCAGTTACACTCAGATTCACACAGTAAGTCCAAAAGCCCTTCCTATTAATGAGCGCTTACATTTTTTTTATTAACTAAACGTGCATTATGTCTCACTTGTGATGACATTTTTGTACACCGGTTGGTAAACCCGTAAAAATATAGAGAATTATAAAGTTGTTTTGCCATACTTGATTTGACTCAATTTTTTCTTATTTCAAGAATCTAACCAAGTAAAATTTTCTTACTCCATTGGCAGAAAGTTTTGACTTAATTTGAGTCAAATTTTCAGACTAACAAGACAAATAATCTTACATATTCTGAAAACAAGATTATTATTCTTACACAATCAGTTCTTGTTTAGTAAATCAGTCTCAAAACAAGATCAAAAAGACATTTTGGCTGGGTATAAGATTTTAAAACTTGGTTAGGTGGACATTTTTTGCAGTGCGGGCCATCCATCCCCTCATTTATCACCATGTCATATGCTGCTGATACTGAAGCACGTCCGAGCCACGATGGGGCTTTTTGGGCCCTGATGTCACGCTGAAATAATATTTGTATGGGCAGGAAAACCAGGCAGCGCACCAACAGAGCCCTGCACTGTGGTGCTGTGTGCTTAGATCTGTTTTATGTACGTTTATGGACCAGAGCAGCCCTTTCCTGCTGAGCAGAAACAATATATTTATATTAGTAGGCTACCATATCATGGTACGATATAATTAATGCAACTTTTTYCTCATGTCTCTGTCCCAGGACCACTGTGTGTGATGTTGAAGGCAGCTCGCTGAAAGCAGTGAACGTGAGGACAGAAAATGGTACAAAGGATACTGCACACCTGAGCGCTTTCTGCATCAAAGACAAAGGTCAGAGAACGCACCAGTTTGATAAAAACAGAATTCTGATTTATGCTAATTATGAAATGTGTTGTATTTTACTGCAAAGCCAGTAAGAAATTGTTATAAATTCGCATGCACAAAGAGGACCAAGCTCAGGTTTTTTTTTTCTTTTTTTTTTTTTGGGTGGGTGGTCAATCATATGGATAG